TTCTGGGTTTCTGCAGAGCAGAGCCTTGTAGGGCTGAGACTGTCACTGTGCAGCAGGATTCTCAACTGCAGCACTGTGGACATTTTGAGCTGGATCAATCTTTGTGGTGGGAAACTGTCCTGTGCGTTATAGGATACTGACCAGCGTCCCTGGCCTCCACATACTAGATGCAGTAGCACGTCCCCCCACCCCCATCTCCAGTTGTGACAACAAGAAATGTCTACGGACATTGCCAAATGTTCATTAGGGACAAAATCAACCTCCCTCCTTACAGAGAACCATTGCTGTAACATAAAGTAGCCAGTGGGGCTCATTCATTTTATTCTCATTCAAAGAAGTGTAGATCTGCTTCAGATGGTCATCTAGGGCAGCCAGGCATTGGACAAAATCGGTGCTCATTTTATATTTTGAAACAAATTGATTAAAATGAGTGAATTCTAGAACAAGGCCACCATAGCCGTAGGCGTGGAAGCCACGGGAATCAATAGGAAAGCTATATAATCTTTCTTCTCTGTGTTTTCTAATTTTTCAGCCAAGCACTTGGGACCATTGAGGTTTCTTTCCTTTAGCAACAGTGCACGACTGCACAGCCCAGGACCAGATTCTAGAATGATAGGAATCGTTGGGAGAAGGTTACACTCTGTTGCACACAGTCCATTTGAGAAAACAATATAGGTAACCCAGAAAAGAAAGCTTTTTAAAAATATTGCTAAAATAAAATTTACGTGTTGGGCCGAGCCCGTGGCGCACTCGGGAGAGTGCAGTGCTGGGAGTGCACCAGCGCTCCCGCTGCGGATTCGGATCCTATATAGGGATGGCCGGCGCGATGTGCTCACTGGCTGAGCGTGGTGCGGCCGGCCACAAAAAGGAAAAAAAAAAAAAAATTTACATGTTAAGGGAAGGTAACTTGAGATGAATAAAATTCCAACTTTGTGTTAGTCACCCAGCTGGAGCCTTTTAATAAATTATCATGTTTGATGATTTTAAATGTTTTTATGACCTTTACAAAACATATGGAAAAGCAGAACAAATAATGTATTGCTGATTATGCACCAAACACCCAGGGGTCACATAAATAAACATTTTGCCATATTTGATTCAGATATTTTTAAAGGAACAAAACGTTTTATTTTTTTTAATTTTTAAAATTTTAATTGACACATTATAATTATACATATTTGTAGGTTACAAAATGATGTTCCAAAAAATATATATACTGTATAATAATTGGATTAATGTATCAATCACCTCATGTACTTACCAATTCTCTCTGGCAAAAACATTCAAAAGCCTCTCCTCCAGCTATTATGTAAAATACAAAACGTAACTGTTAACCACTGTCACCCTACTATGCAATAGAACACCAGAACTTACTCCTCTTATCTAATTGAATTTTTTTTTCTGATCAAATTTTTTTTTTCTTCCAAATTTTAGTTTATTTTGTCAATATACAATGTGGTTGATTATTGTGGCCAATTACCGAACCCACCGGTCAACCTCTCTCTGTTTTCCTTCTTCCCTCCTTTCCCCAGTCTCTGGTAAGCACCGTTCTACTCTCTACCTCTATAATGTCACCTTATTTTTTTTAGATTTCAGGAATGAATGAGGTCATTTGTGACCTCATGGTAATTGTCTTTCTGTGCCTGGCTTACTTTACTTAACGTAATGTCCTCCAAGTCCATCCATGTTGCTGCAAAGGGTAGGATTTCATTCTTATTTTTGGCTGAATAGTATTCTGTTGTACATATGCAACATTGTATTTTATTTATTTATTTTTTTACCTATTCATCTGTTGTTGGACATTTAGGTTGATTCCTTATCTTGGCTATTGTAAATCGTGCTGCAATAAATATAGGAGTGCAGATATCTCTTTAACATACTGACTTCATTTCCTTAGTATACCCAGTAGTGGAATTGCTGGATCAAATGGTAATTCTATTTTTAATTTTTCGAGGAACCTCCATGCTGTGTTCTATAATGGCTATACTAGTTTCCACTCCCACCCACAGTGTGCAATTGTTCCATTTCCTCCACATCCTTGCCAACACTTGTTTTCTTTTGTCTTTTTCACAGTAGCCATTCTAACTGGAATGAGGTGGTATTTCATTGTTGTTTTGATTTGCATTTTCCTGATGATTAGATGTTGAGCATTTTTTTCATACGCAGGTTGGCCATTTGTATGTCTTCTTTTGAGAAATGTCCATTAAGATCTTTTGCCCATTTCTCAATTGGGTTATTTGTTCTTTGTTTTGTTTTGTTTGCTGTTGAGTAAGTTTCTTATTTATTCTTGATATTAACCCGTTGTCAGGTATACAGTTTACAAATATTTTCTCCCATTCTGTAGTTTTTCTTTTCTGTTAACAGTTTCCTTTGATGTGTAAAAGCTTTTTAGTTTGACGTAATCCCGCTTGTCTATTTTTGCTTTTATTGCTTACACTTTTGAAGTCTTATTGAAAAATTGCTCGTCCAGCCTCATATCATGGGTTGTTTCCCTTATGCTTTCTTCCAGTAGAAGAAACAAAACATTTTAAAAACAGTTGGTGACTTCCTGATCTCCCTTCCTAATCTCACTCCCATCTCTCTTTCCTCTCTTTTTCCTGCTTTCCCAGAGGAAATCTTTTTCCTGCCTTCCCAGAGGAAGCCATTATCCTGAGGTTGAAGTGTGTAACTCCCATGTATGTACATTTCACCTTTAACTATATACAGTACATACAATTCTGCACTTTATTTTGTTGCCCTCCATACTGTATTTTTGAGATTAGTTTATGATAATGCATATAGCTCTAATTCATTCATTCAACAGTATTCATTTTTTTATCCCATTCTTCTACTGGTGGACATTTGGTTATTTCCACCCTAAGACACAAAACTGCAGGGTGTATTCTTACATATATCTCACAGTGCACATGGGCAAGAGTCTCTTCAGAAAATGTAGCTCGAAGAGGAAGTGCTGTACAATTTTGGAATTATTAAATATTGCCCCAATTGTTCCCCCAAAGTGATTGTGGCATTTTACTCTGTCACCAGCAATGCACAAGCTCTTGCTTCTCCTCATCCCTACCTGGCAACCGATGACACTGTTAAACATTTAAATTTTTTTTCAGGCATTGGGTGTCCTGAAGTCAGTGGTACTGCGTGTCCCCCATTATCAGTGAAGTTGTACATTTTTCACATGTTTATTGGGGTTTACTCTCATGTGAATGACCTGTTCATAGTCTTTGTCTTCTCCTTTTTTTCTATTGATCATGAAGATCCTTACACAAGATGCTAATCCATTTTTGGTAATATATTTTGCGAATATCTCCTACACTATGGATAATCATTTCACCTTGTTTACAATGTTCTTCGCTCAATAAGAAGTGTACTTTTTAAAAATATAGTCACATTAATGAATCATTTTATGGTTTGTGCTTTTCTGTCTTAAGATGCCTTTCCTTAACTGGAGTACATAAAGATATGTCCTCATATTTCTTGAAAGTTCTAAAATATTGTTTTTGACATTTTTAGGCATTTAATCCATCTAGATATTATATTGGCATGTAGTATGAGATGAAAATCTATTTTTCCCCAATATGCATAAACTTTGTTTTATTTCATGACTTTTTCTACAACTTCCATGTTTTATGGGAGTGTTTATGGTCTCTGCGTTGTGGCTTATTGGTTTATTTGTCTGTTTCTGCACCGTATGGCTTTAATGGCTGGGTT